GGGGCAGCCATCTGCCGCAACTGGTCAGGGGTGAGGGGAGGAAGACGGGACAATTACACGTGTCTTTGTCTTCAGGTTTCTGCATTCATCATTTAAAAGTGTTACTTATAAGCTCTTTCATTGTTATTCTGTTACCTCCCAGCATGCAGTGCTGTCTAGGAAGTTTGTGGAGGTGATGACAAAGTATAATGAAGCTCAGGTGGATTTCCGGGAGAGGAGTAAAGGACGTATTCAGAGACAGCTCGAGATCAGTGAGTCACAACGACACCAACAAAGACATCTGACGGTTCCATTGTCGCCTTTGTCATTAATCCCGCTCCTTTTCCTTTTTCCCTTTCCTCTCCAGCTGGAAAAGCAACTACGGATGAAGAACTAGAGGAGATGTTGGAGGGTGGTAATGCTGCTGTGTTCACTGCAGGGGTAAGAGTGTGCGTTTATGCACTTTTATGCATTTTCCTTAACGTACGTTAACGTTAACTCCACCATGATGTGGTTGAGCTGTGAAAGCCGAGTTGTCAGTTTCTCAGTAAAACTTAAACTGCTTGTGTCAGCTAATTATTGGCGCTTAGGAGTCGACCTGACTCGCACTCAGTCTGTTCATGACACACTGAGATAAGGAGCATTGTGTTGTGTTGCTTTGGCTACACGCAGCAGCTGGAAAAACTTGAAAATGTAGCCAAGATTCTCTAAGCTCATGTTGATAAAAAATACACAAGTAGGGAGGAATTTCTTGCACAAGGACGCACAGCTTGACTTGATATTTTCAGATACGGCGTCTCACATTCCTGTAACAAACAGGCTAGACTTTGACCTCACTTAACTGTTAAAGACTCCAACTGCTGGGCAGGACGGGACTGTTGTGTAGTGGTGTCCTTGAATAGATTTTAGATTTTTAGGCTGTATCACAACAACTGTTTTCTAGCTTGGTGCCGTATTAAGTGAATACACATTGATTTGAATCAATGCCAAATATTCATTTAGCCACCTGTGTTTAAACTGATGCTGTTCGGTAATGTTAAGCCTCTCCTTTGCACAGATTGTAGACTCGGGGATCTCCAAACAAGCCCTGAATGAGATTGAAGCCAGACACAAAGACATCGTCCGTCTGGAGAGTAGTATTAAGGAGCTGCACGATATGTTTGTAGACATTGCCATGCTGGTTGAGAGCCAGGTACGCTCCTCTGCATCCACCTGCCTGTCATTTCATTCTAGTTATTTGCTTGTTCATTCATTGAATTCATCCTTAAATCCTCTCCATGGCTTTGTGTTCAGCCCTCATTGTATCCAACTCTTTGCACATCATTACTCTGTTTACTCTTTTCCAGCTGTATGTCTTTCCTTTACTCTTTGCGCTCTTCTGCCACTGTCACCTCCATCCCATCGCTCTGCGTTAACGGTACCAATACAAATGCATTAGTGAATAAATCATCAAGGTCAACAAACGTCTAACTAGCTGGTACAGGGACATTACTGTTAGCCTCTTAACTAAATATAACCACATATTTCTTGTTGCTTGCAAAATGCTGTCTGAGGAAAAGGCTTTGTAAGGTAAGGGTTGTTGTTATGCACATGTTTCATGTTGTGCTGTGAGATTGTTTTGGATTTTTTTTTTTTCCTGCCACTTTTAATTCCAGTTTTACGTTTGAAAGTTTGAATTACAGAAGAGAACTAGAAGGGTGCTTGCAGAGCTAATTCTCCACCAAGGCTGATGTCCTGGATCTCTCTTTATAGATTTTTATATGAGGCTATAAAAAGTGATTCAAGTTAAAATTAAATGTCAGAATTCAAAACAAACCCCTGAGATTCTCAGTGCAGGTGTTGGCAATCTAACTGTTCAGTGAACATGTAATACCCCTCTAACCGGATTTATTCCTCTGTATTTAACCCAATCTGCTTCTCATTTCTGCTTAAGTGTCAGTACCTTACAGAATGTTGCATGTTTTTCAGGGTGACATGGTAGAAAACATAGAGCAGAATATATCCAAGTCAGTGGACCACATAGTAGCAGCAAAGGAGCAGACCAAAAAAGCTGTAAGGTATCAGACCAAAGCACGCAAGGTAATGTCTTTCTTTTTTTTTTCTTTCCAGTCATAGCACCAAGCCGCTTTTGTCTTTTTTTTTCCTGCTTATCTTCTGTACACCGTTGCACTCCTCACTGTTTGCCACACTTAAACCACATAGTGTGCCTACATATCCTCCCTTCACCAGGTCTCTCTCACCCTCCCTCACCCAGTACTCGCACACGTTGCCATTCGCACCAACTGTTGCATTGCTGTTGCTTGTCTTTTTCTCTCTCTTTCTGTTTAATTTCACTGCTACGTTTCTTTACCTCTGATGCCGTTTACATCAGGGTGGAATGATTGACAGGATCGAGAGCAACATGGACCAGTCGGTGGGCTTTGTGGAGCGCGCTGTTGCAGACACTAAAAAAGCTGCAAAGTTTCAGCAAGAGGCTCGCCGTGTGAGTGATAATCATCGAAAACAATGGTCAGGTTTCCCAAAAGCACTGGAATTATTTATTTAATAACTTTGCATTTACAAATCTAGTTAGTTCTGAACAAGCAGGACAAAGATTAAAAATTACGATTAAACAGAATAACTTTGACACCATGGGACAAAAAAAACTGCGTTCTCCAGCCTGACTGATTGTGAATTAGAATATGTTCGGCATATGGAAATGTAGTCTGCTTTCTTCTCTCTCATGTTGAGCAGAACTGCACCGTCATGCAGGTGTAATGCAGGTTGTACAGGGTAGTAAACCCTGTAAAAAGTCCTTCAGGCTAAACAAAAACAAAAAAAATATTGTCAAGAAAGAATTATCTTAACTTTTGAAGTCTAAGTCATCATCAGTGAAAAGTGCTAACTCTGTTAACAAAATAATCGATTGTTGGCTTTTGAAAATTGTTCTCTTAAAAGCTAAGGTAAGTCTCAGAGTTACTTTGACCTCTGAGACTTGATTTCAAACATAGAAGCTTGACCTTCAACATTTACATGCTAGTGACTCATTAAATGCAGTTATATACGTGCCAGAGGTAATCACAGTCCACAATAAGCTATTTAAGCAATAATAAAACAAAAACAAAGTAAGGATGTCTCCCAGTCTCCACTGGTTAACCTTCCTTTTCATGTTTAGACTTTCAGTTTACCCTGTTCAGCCTCTCAGGTACCCTTAAAAGATCTGTAACATTAACTCCCCTAATTTAGATTTACACACACTGATAGCATTAACTAGTGTGGAGATGATACAGCTCTGTTAACTACCATTGGATAGCATACCATCAGTGTGTGGGATGGTTAAAAACAAACAACCTGTCACAAGCTCTTGTGGGGTGTCATTTCCTGTCCTCAGAAGGATCCATCCCAGAGAGGCCTGCACACAGTCCTCAACCCCAACAATCGTCAAGCAGGAGTCCTGAAGGCAACTCCTGCTCATGGTTGTTTTTTATTTTCAGGTTGGGAATAGTTGGAATTCCTCTTCCACTAGAGGATGCTTTTGGGAAACCTGTTTGAAGACCATTCCCACCTCCCCCTGTGGTGACTTGTGCTCTCCGATCCCCTCTACCTGCTCCGTTACACCCTGTGGCCTGTGGAACCCTGTGCTTTAAACACCACTGTGACCTGCCCAGCAACACGTAGCAGAATAAAAAGCATCCTCCCTCCCACCAACACACACACACACACACACACACACACACACACACACAGAGCTTCTTTTCTTTCTGTCCTTTCTCTTCAGCTTCATCCTCACTGTGTTGATGTGCAGTTTACACATGAAGGCTGTAACCACAACCGTTGCTGTGTTGTAGGGTTGGAGATGTTGTGTGCTTGCTTCTGGCTGTTACAGATTGTGTGTGTGTGTGTGCAAAGGCAAACTGTTGTATTTTCAGGACAACAGACAATAAACCCTGAACCTGTTTCAGTCTTGAGCAATACTAATGTGCAGAGTTTTTGTGGTAAATAAGCCTCAAGAGTAATCGATGTTATCTGATACATCTGCTGTTGTCATATAGTAAAGACCTGCTGTCCTGCTGTTTTTACACTGACATTGGATCTGATAATTTATGTCTTAATTGTCCCCAACAGAAACTGGTGATAATAATTGTGATTGTGGTGATCTTGGTGATCATAGTGGCTCTGGCAATTGGGTTGTCAGTGGGATTAAACAAACGATGATGAGTTATTTGAATAAGAGAAGCGCTAAGGGTGAGTAATTGAGCAAATAGCTGCTGTATAATGGGTGTGTGTCTGTTAGGCATGCTTTGGGAAGGAGTTTGCACTTCCTTTAAGGCTCAGTGTGTGTTTTCTTACTATCCAGAGGGCTTACTCGAGGTGTGTGTGCTTGTTTGAAGTACTTTGGGTGTGTTGTTGTTCTCCTGTTCTGGGCCTCTTGCCTCTGGTTACTGTAGTGGCGAATTAGTTCCTGCTGGTGTTGAGTTTGTGGGTCATTTCAGTTGTAGGTATCCCATCATCAACACTGTTTCTGTGTATGTTTCTCCCTCTCTGTAGAAGATCATCATTATTGCTGTGGTCTGTGCCGTGGTTCTTCTCATTATCCTCATCATCATCCTCACCCAGACACTATAGGGCTGATCGCTGCCGTCATCTCATCATCTGTGTATTCAACATCCTCACCATTATTCATCAGCCTGCCTGCAGAAGGAAAAACCGATCCTGATCACTCCATATGGGTATAAGAATATTTAACCTGCAGATATTTTCAATCGAATAAAACACACTGAGGGTCTCCCTGACTTTTGGACAATTGAGGATGTTCTCCTGCGAATGAGGAAACGAGACCAAAGATGACATATGAGGTACATTGTCTATTGTACCTCTGTGAAGGCGAAAAGGGAATTGGGAAACAAAACATCACTTCAGTGTCACTAAACATTTCACTGTTCAACATTTGCTGCCAAAGAATCAGCTGGGAAGCGTTTGTCATCTGAAAGCTTTCAGAAGCACATAAACCCCCTGATTTCTTTGAGCCTTGATTTGATTTTATGATTGAAAATCTCCCCAGTGAACTTTCAGTGCTGTGGGATTTCTTTTTGTTGTTGCTGTTGTTAGGGTTTGGGGAGTTCCAGCACTTTAACATTTCCAAATGCGTAGCTCAGATATCTGTAATTATCACTGGTTGTTAAAAAAAACAAAAAAAACAAACAAATATGAAGGACTGCACTTATGGGAACACATTTCATGAACTTACAGGCGCGTGTGATGAACGCTCATTACTTGCTTACTTGTAGCAGCTGAAATTTGATCCTTTTCACAACCCAAACCTAAGCTTTTACATGTATAGACACAGTTACTCCTCCTGTTAAAGTGCTGTAGAAATCTTTCAATGCCAAAGGGGTTTTAGAGAGTCTGGTAGTAACACTAGTGGTTTGTTTCCCGTAAGTGCCAGAATAGTCTTTTTGTATTTATTCTGCTGTTCTAAGACATGTTGCTTATGACGTCACATACAAATGGGCACTCTGTAAAGTATCCTTGGCTAGTCTTGTCTTACTACTGGGAAATGCCTTAACAGGCATATTTTAGGTTTTACTACTGAGTTGCCAGTTTTAGACACAGTCCTGCAGTACATCTGATGTTTGCGAAGGTCATAATGTTCAGTTTTTGTTTACACAGCCTTAGGATGTAATGGTTTGACGTTTTTAACAGAGGCTGTATGTGTGCTGCTCTTTACTTCATAGGTGTGTCTAATATTTAGACTGCCCTCATTTGTGAATGTGGGGGGTGGGGACAATATTACAAACACCTCTTACTGTAACCAGTTCATCCGCACCACAAAGTACGTCCTCCAAAAAGCCCATTGAGTCTTAATGAACAATTTCAACTAAAATGAACATTATACCTCCTTTTTTTTATTTAAAGAAGTCATTTTAATGTACATAGAAAACTTGTATTTTCAAAAAAAGCACGATGCACAAGACGACAGGATTTTTGCAGGGCTGTGTATTAGATCACATTAGCTTTAGCAACATGTACCTCCCTGTTGGATTCAGTAATGGTTGTCCATCATCATTTCATTCATTTCATTTCAGACAATCTTTGGAACTGACAGTTTACCAAACCAAAGTGCACAGGTTGTCATCCAGTGGCTTTAACAGGGTAATTAAAGCACGTGATTCCAGCCGTACATAAAATCAGTACCAACCAGTCATGAGGAGAAGCCCTGACATAAGGGAGTAGGCCGATTTCAGTAAAACAATGTTGTAATTTAAGCATGAATTAAATTGTAAACTGTGGTTTGTATGAAGCACTTGAAAATGAGAATCCCGCAGCATCATCATCATCATTTAGGGGCACAATCCATTTTATTTGAGTCGTTGGCGCAGACTGGAACATAAGAGAAAATTGAAGCTTTTTTTTACCTGTGTAAATGTCGATGATTTTATCAGAAATTAAAGATTTTGTGTGTTAAATTACCCAGTGTTTATTTGTCGTGTTTGACTTGCAGAAATTGAATTATGTAACTGAATTTTACACATTCTGATGACTGCTTGTTGCAAGGTGGTGTGTGTGTGTGTGTGTGTGTGTGTGTTTTATTGGAGTGTAGTAGCTGCTGTCAGCATGTTAACCACAGTGTTGCAAAGTACAGCTTTTAAAGACTGGTGCACACGTGTCAAAAAAGGGGGTAAGTCGTTTCACCTTTCCTGTCTCTTCACACACACAGTTACACACAAACCTCTATAACCCTTTGTTCTGCTTTTGCTCAATTGTTTCCTCAAACCAGTGTCGATCAATGTTGATAATTGCGTCGGCTCGCAAAGTAAAGCCTGATTCCTCTCTTTGTCGTCTGACTGTGTGTTTCTGATTGCGTCTCCAGAAAAAGATGATGATTACATTGTGCTGTGCCATCATTGGGATCGTTGGGTTCTCCTATCTCTACAGCTTCTTCTCATAAAAAATTTTTACACAGGTAAAAGACAAAAAACACCTGCATCAGCCTTTCAGTGCTATTGTTTATGCGGACTCTCTGAATGCTTAAAGACTGCATTTCTTTTGTCTCTGTGTGGTGTTTCTAGGCACGAAGGATTTCTCCAAAAATTAGGAATATTTCCCTGATGCTCCTTCATACCCCCCCCCCCCCCGTATTTATATACAATAAAGTATTTAAAAACAAAAAAATCACATCCGTCCTATTCACTTTCCCTTTTTATTATTAATTGAAATGTAAACAATTTTCTTGCTGTATGAAGTGTTTGAAATGTATTGTGTGTCGGTGTCTCAGCCTGACTGTTCAAAGCCAGGTGACTTGACTCGTGATTTGTAATCATATACTCTACCGCCTCCTGGTGGTGCATCAAGGGAAAACCCCATATTTAGAGAAATTATCTTTTTCAGGATAAAATAAAACTTCGGAAGAACACATTTTAATCATTTTCTTTTCTTTCTTTCTTTCTTTTTTTTTTTAAATCTATATATTTAATTATTTTACTGTCTCGGCTCCAAAATGATCTGTTCCAAGGTGTCCAGTTTAGTGGTATTTTCTGGCCTGTTTGTCATAATTATGATTAAAAATGTGCGTGACTTTGTGTGTGAGATCTGTCTGATGGTGTTTTCCGTAACAGCGGCTGTCAGTCGCTCACTGGCTGTGTTGTCTCAGTAAAGCCTGTTATGTAATAAAATTTCTGTGCGTTACATCAAGTGCTGTGTGCGGCTCGTTTCTTGCATGAGGCTCAGCTGATCGCCTCTTTGCATGGAGGGATCCCGATGACCCTGACTTGCATAGAATCGGCCGTGTGGAGCTATTTTCCTATGTCAAAGACGTAAATGCAGCAGCCGATATAAGCACGACTTTGCATCCGCGGGTGAGGAGCCTTCCTGACCTCGTTTTATCCCCATCTCGCTGTTCTTCCTAACCAGCTGCAAGCCCCGCCCAACCACACGATGCGGGGCAAGCAGTAGATGAGGGTGCGCTCGTTTTCCTGTTCTGTGTTTGCCGGATCCATGCTTTTATATTCTTCACGCCACATTCAGATCCCACCAGCCAAATGTCGCAGAACAAACTGAGACTTTTCCAGTCTCTATGGTCCAGTTTTGGTAAAAGCGTGTAAATTGTAGCATCATTTTCCAGTTCTTAAAGCACAGAAGTGGTCCCCGATGTGGTCTCCTGCAACTGTAGCCCATTTGCTGGAAGGTTCAACGGGTTTAGAGATGCTCTTCTGCACACCTTGTAGCGAGTGGTCATTCGAGTTACTCTTGCGCCCCCATCAGTTCAAATCAGTCTGACATCAACAACACACTGCTGCTCATTACAGGAGCAATATCTCTCATTCTTAATGCCCCCCACTGTAGCCAGCTTTGATAATTTTAGGTCCTCCATTAGTATTATTCCAAAATTATGGAATAATTTTCTAATTATGCCAGATATCACAAGGTGTGTGGTCCATTTCTTATTACTTTCATTGTTCATTCTGTCCGAACACAGTTTAAAGGCACAAAATCTTCAGATGTAGAGATCCGGTAACAAAAAAGAAAATAGACACTTTTTGATGTCTAATAATATAAAATGCTTTTAATACAAATTTTAATACTAAAATACTAGTAGTATTTGTTTTATATAAAATATTAGTTTACCGGTCACACCGGAGCAGACAAACTAAACATACTTGTATGTTAACATATGCTAATCTGTTCTAAGTGACACACCCTGTGCCCAATGAGAGCGCCTACATGCTAATTTCTCAGAGCAGTGGAGTAAATAGGGGTGGGTCCTGAGCGTTTTCCTTTTTTTTTCCGTTTCGTGTGTATGTTTTTTGACTAGCTGGAAATGGCGTCTCTTGGCTTCGAACCGTTCTAACTTTATCGCACAATAATAAACATAACAATATACACAGCTATTATCCCATAACATGGGGAGAAACTTTACTGGGAGGTTTTGGACGCTCTAGTTGGGAAGCATTACTGTGACCGCTGCGACTAAAAGGAGTTAAATCGCGGAGGTAATGATAAAGAAGCTTACAACTACCGTGTACAGAGGCTAACGATAGCTAGCTAGCGATAGCGGACGACTCAAGAAAGGGCTTGCCAACTGAGCTAGTCTACGCTAGCCGATAAGGCCACTTAAAAAACGGAAGAAAATTGAGACGGTGGTTCCGGATATTTGTGTTAAAATGAAGCTACTCTTATAGGCAGTTATCGTCATAGAATGACGCGAGATGAACGTTTATATTGGTAATTATATGTGCTGTGCTAACCGTAGCTTGCTGGCTACAGTAACACTGTTGGCTAACGTTAGCAGGGGTATCTGGCTGAGAGGGGGTGTGTTTCTGTCCGACTGGGTGTAAAAACAAACTAAAAATACTCGGACAGTGGTTGGATATTTCATCTGTGTGACCAGAAACTTTTGTTTCGCTTCCAGAGAATAATGGAGGATTCTCATACACGGTACAGCAAGCGCCTGGTAAGTAACTTCACCCAACTGTTAAATCCCCGGATTCGTTGTTTTATGTTAACAAGGCAACTTCTTCGTTTTCAATGTGCGTTTTTAATAGACAATAAGCGATTTAGTGAATGAGAACTGATATGTTTTCTTTAGAACGGCCTGCTTTTCTTTTCTATTTTTTTGGGACATTGTGTTCACGGTAATGGTCCCATTTTTGGTTTGTGTGGCACGCTAATGATAACGGCAGTGAACCTGTGTAAAGGCTCTGGGTTCAGGAAAAGGTCAAGTTCAGTGTCTAAACTGACAGCATTTGTGATGTGACCCTGTTTCACCCCCTTCCCTGTCGATGTAAAGCAATAAACTCCAAGCTTACCGTCTGCGGTTTGTACTCAAAACATTACACCAGCTGATTCCTGTTATTACTGGGGCAGAGGCTCAATATTAGGTATATTTATATTATTAAAAAGACTTCTTGTCATTGTTGATTGTTATTTTTATTGCACGAAAACCTAATAAAAGCACACATAAAGTGGTTGCTTAATACTTTTTTTTTTTTTTATTAATTATGCTTTCTTCTTTTATTGCTTTATCTGGAAGCTTTAGCTTTGGTTTCGTTGGTAATATTGACTTGCTTTAGTTTAATAATAATAGGGACTGTGTGTTCTTTGAAAGTAAGGACTATTATATCTTAAATAATGCTACATTTGTGGTGTAGAGATGGGGGTGGGGAGATCTGAGAACAGAATTCATGTGCTTCATCCATCTGTCTTGCCAAGCAGTGCGCATAGGGTGAATGGCAGGAGGGGAGTTAAAGGGGGGCAGTGTGTAGAAGATTAACCCCTGCTATTGTAATACTGTATTGTTTGTTTCCCAGATGAACTGATTTTTGTGTCTGACTGATTGATGAATTTGGATGGGCTTACATCTATCCAGCTCTTTGCTTAAAGCTTTGATATTGCTAGTTTCAGTTTCTTTCTTTTCTTAAAAAAATGTTGTGGTATAGGTCTAAAGTCTTGTTAAACGCCTATAATGAAATTTAACTTGATGCCAAAAGGTAATCCAGTTATTAGTGTTATAATGGTTTAAGTATATTGTAGTAATATACAGCTGTTTTTCAGTGGTTTTCCTCTCAAGCACATTTAATTTATCCAGCTCTCAGTTATTTCTTTGTGTGTGCCTCCAGTCAGATCTCGTCAGCATCAGCTGATTATTATAAATAAGATACCTTTAGTATATGTGATGAAGTGTGTGGAAACTAGGCTAAAGTCTGAATTCTTTTTATTTTTTATATTTTCTAAAACTTTCTAAAGGCTGAAGGCTTTATCAAAACCTCTGCCAGGTCTAGGCCCATGTGGCTATGTTGACAGGGGATTCCCCCTCATAACTGAGAGTTATGCTGGATGTGGGTTTGAGACAAAATTGCACCTTGTTTATTTGCTCTTTATGCACTGGAAACTGTTTGGTAAACTGCAATTTTGGGACCTTGTTTTGAGAGATATCTGTTGACAGTGAAGTTAAGATCATGAAGCTGGGAAATACTGGAAAGTCCAGTTGTTCTTCTTGGTGGATGGCTGTTGTGCGTAGGTGTAATTCTTGGTTTGTGTCGCATAATTTATGAAGTCGTACAAATTTTTACCTTAATATAATTTATATTTTTCTGAGACTCAAGCCCCCAGAGTACATCTTACTCTAATAGTTATAGCGTATGCATGTATGTCTGTTCACTAGATTCTCTTCTATGCGTTAACCAATCTGGATGAAGGTTACTATATAAACTGCCTAGAGTACCGGGATAATCAACATCTGTATAGTGTTTGGAAATTACTTTTAAAACATTCAAATTCTTAGAAATTCTATATATTATCTGTAGTCGCTGATCTCAAAACGAATGGGGACATTAGATCTACGTTACATGTTGTATTTTAAAAATATTTCTTGCAGTGTCTATAATTGATTATTATTATTTTGTCATTCTGTGAAGTTAAAACGTTATTTAAAGGTTCTGAAGTTTTTGTGAAACTAAACCCCGAGCCATTT